TGTTATTTGTCTTGAAAATGATACTAAATGTATCGAAACGTCGACAGTAATAAAATAAATTGTTATATCTATTAACAAAATGTCAATAAAAAGATTTAAAGCTGCTGTTAACTCTATCATATTCATTTGTAAGCAGCCACAACCGGTTTCATTCTTGCTTAAGGGACTCGTCAGGTGGCATAGAATCGGTTTCCTCCCTCATACGAAAGAGGACCCCTTCGATGGCGCATCTATTTGTTGACCTAAATGATATGTCAATAAAAGAACATTTTTTAACGTATTGTCAAGCTCCATCATCGACAGGAGAAGCCTTATCTGATATTATTTTAGAAGAAGTTAACATATGTAATCTTGATATGAATAGCTGTCGCGGTCAAGGTTATGATAATGGTTCAAATATGGTTGGAAAAAATAAGGATGTTAGGACCAGGATAAACAAACAATTTATATCCGAGAGCATTTTTTAATCCGTACTATGTCGTTAACGTAAGTTTCTCATTTCTTTTGGTCGTTTCCAGATCGACACAAGAGTGCGATACTTCATTTCATACATATCATAATTTCATGCATTTCATCATTTCATACAATCGCTTTCCTCCCTCATACGAAAGAAGACCCCTTCGATGGCACATCTATTTCTAGATGCGTTCATTTGAAGCTTATGCTGCGAAAGAGCAGGTTGTCTGGCTTTTAGGTTAGAGTATGCTGGTCTATTCAGACACCGAAGGAGTTCTCTTTCGTATGAGGGAGGAAACCGATTCTATGCCACCTGACGAGTCCCTTAACCAAGGACGAAATCGCTCGTGGCAGCTTTTCCGTGGCTGCTTCAGAGTTTTTTGGTTTGGGGAAGAGATGTGATGAAGATAACAATTAGGAAATGAAATGGTTTGCCCTCGTTATTAGGGCGAAAAATCAGCTTGTCGTCGCTATTAGCGAAAAAAGCTGGAGTCGTGATTAGGGTCACCCTTTTTTAGATTGCTTTCAAATATCTTCTTGTCAAATTATGTATTTCACCAAAACACAGTCGTTTTCTCATGGACCTTTGGATTATGATAGAATTCGACATGGTCTCCAAAATTGCGAAAGGGATCTTTAGTACTTTTCCGCATAAGAAACATGAAAAACATGTTTCTTTTCAAGAAATAACATTTTGACTAGGGGTGTCAGGATTTCCGTTCCTTCGGGTTTCGTTCCCAAGTAACACGTAAACATTTGATAAATCGTTTTTGCGTGTTTTTTCAACACACTAGAAAAATGCTTAAGTATTAGGTTCTTTTCACTAGTTCGTTTTATAAAATTCAGCTTCAATCATTGAATTTTGTTTTTATTAAAAAGAACTTCCATTATGTCGAACGCCACGAAATTACCAACTATGCCGATTTATATATGGCTCGATTCCAGTGCTAATTCAAATAGTCACAGTTTAAATATGCTAGAAAAACACTTAAAAACAAAACTAGCAAATTTAAAAACATTTAATAATATTGATGATTTCAAAGAATTTATACAAACGTATGCAGATGAAACCTTTGTACTTCTCGTATCGGGAACATACGGACGTCAAATTGTACCAGAAATACATAGTTTACCACAATTATTGGCTGTCTATGTTTACTGTTCGAATAAAGCGCGAAATGAAGAATGGGCAAAAGAATATATTAAGGTATAGTTAGAAAGAATGGAAAGTTTCTTCTCATACACTACATAAAAACGATTTTCAGTACCAGTGAGAAAAAACGAAATTTTCCATGCTCGTGGAGAAACGGGTCTGATCCTGTCACTGCTTCGTGAGACTAGTCCTAATCTATTCCCATAGTGAGAATTCTCATCTAGTGCTAACGGTGAAAAAAATACTTGAGACATTCAAATACTTACTTTCATACATTCTCATACGTCATCGAAAAATACAATAAATTGATTTGCTATAATATGTTCAAATCTAAAGTTCCTCCGACAATAACAGAGATGCAACTAGAATACTCTCCTCAAATTCATTGTCAGTTGAATGAGGAGAAGAACGAGGAGTTCTTTCCATTCAGCGGAACGTGTAAATCTGAGTAGATGAGCGCAACTCTCTCTCGAGGATTCTCACACTGCGGTGGAAGAAGCGATGTATCTGAAAATATCTCAGACAGGTAGTGTGAAATTTTACAAAGACCTTTTCTCTTTCTACATACGACGAAACTACTCTAATTTTTGCAGAAGCCTGCATTTCTTTGCATCCCCCCACTCCTACAGGATCTCAAACCGATAGATATTTACACAATTCACGCACAAGCGAACAGTCGGGTAGTTTCAATAAGATTGCAACGACTTTGAGACACTACTGACATGAGAGCGATAATAAACTGGAATGAGGGCGAATGAATCGACACTAGGGCCATTGACTCGTTGTGTGTGAACTGTTGTTTATGCTTCATTTTCTTTCCACATTAACTATCATTATTTGTCTTCTTCCGGTAGATCGAAGGTATATCCACTGATGTTAATGATCTGGTTGAACGCATTTTATCCAAATTTGCGTCGGCATCTGTAGCTGATTCATTTAGATGTTCGTCAGCATTCATAACTAATCCATCTATATTGCCGTCCGAATATTCAATCAATCATGAAGTCATCTGGTTGCGTCTTTTTATCGAAATACTTATTTGCATGAATGATACTAACGAAGCGAAAGATGATATGCTAAGGTTTTGGAGAGAAGCTTATGTAAATGATGAGAAACAACTTAGATATGTAGATGAATTTGAAGGGACATTCCACCCATCACGTGCTATTTGGTGGTATACTCGAGAGTGTAAGCTCTATTACCTTCTGGGAAGAGCTTCACGATTTAAGGATTACAATGACTTGTATAAGCTTCGCTTTATAATCAAATATATATATCTACAATTGCAAGAAGAACATCAACGATACATGGAAGAGAGCTACAAATCTTGCTTTACTGCCTATCGGGGACAACGTATACCATTTGACGAATTAGAACTCTTAAAAACGAAGATTGGATCATTGTATTCCTTCAGAGGCTTACTTAGCGCTTCAAGTAGGCTAGACATCGCTATGGCCTTTGTTAAACATGCTACAAATGACGCTACCCAAGCAGCAGTACTGTTTAGAATTGTAACTAACACGGAACAAAAGACAATGGCTTATGCTGACGTTTCCAAGCTAACTGACTTTCCTGGCGAAAGTGAAGTATTATTCATGTTTGGTACGATATTTCAAGTGAATAATGTACAGAACGACAGCTATCAAAACATGTGGATTATTGAACTTTCACTCTGTGAAGAAGATGATCCTCGCCTAAAAGATATGAGTATTTATATAAAACATGAAATTAAAGACAGAGCCGACTTGATTACATTAGCTAATTTATTCGTTAGGATGGGAGAATATGATAAGGCAAAAGAATACTATTGCAAGTATCAAAGCAAACTATCAGCTGACGATTCTAATGTAAAACGTGTCTGGAATGGTCTCTCAAATTTAGCTGATATCGAAGGAAATTACTATATATCATTGAATAATTACGCAAAAGCACATGAATGTTTTAATGAACAGTTAAAATTATGTCAAAATTTACCGAGTTACCATCCACAAAACGGTATGTGTTACGCAAACATTGCTAGTCTATGCGAACTCGAAGGGCAAAAACGTCTGGCTTTGAAAAATTATCAGAAAGCACATAAAATCTATATACAATCACTTCCAGCGTATCATCCAGATACAACGAAAGTAGAACAGGCCATCGAAAACTTATCATCTCGTAAGTCTTTTGAAGCTTTCTTAATGTTCGAATTTAACTTTTTCTAAGTGACAGGCTGTTCACATGTCACAGTCTGATTCGAGTCGAGCCGAATCGAATCGCACCACTTGAAAATTTTTCGATTACGGGACAAGTCAGAATGCTTCACAAACAATTGTCGATGAAGCGTCATCTAGGGCAAGGAGAAATTTTATATGAGATAAAGATTTTTTTCTTTTCAATTTTGAAAAAGCTTCTAAAGTTCCACTAAAAATGATGTACAATTTTTAGAAAATTTACCTTAATTAGTCAAAACATATTTTCGACTTCGGACTTGAGGGTGAGACCAGATCAGTTTCAGTCATACTCGCATCAGATCAAGTCGAATCAGCAAAATCTGACTAACGCCAGACTCTGCTATATATCTTGTTACAATAGTACCTCGTCAGTCTTTAGATTTGTTTCCAAATACGTCTAAAGATTTCCCAAGTCTTACGATTAGCATACGCTGTAAAAAATTTCCGTAGAATAAACAACCCTCGACGGCTTTTTGGCACTGTAAAGAACCCTTTAAGGGTATTTCAAGCAGATAAACCCTCCAAAAGCGTTCTTTGCAAAGGCCGTTCTTTAACGCACCTATTTTTTACTCGAAAGCAGGGTTTTTTGAAGGAAAAGGGGTTCTTCATTTTCTTTGAAAAAACGGGACGATGGTTTATTATTCTGCAGATGTATGGTTTTTGGCAAAAACGTTCTTTAAAATCACCTATGAGTATTGAAGGATTTTCTTGTAAGTTAAAAAACAGGCATTCGTTCTTTATTCTCTCGCTCAATAGTTTTCGATGATATGAAATACTTCGATATTCTTAACCCAAGTTAAATACTGCTTTTTGTGTCAACTGCCGTATGCTGTCGACAATACACAGGTGAAAGGGAATTGCTGCACTAGAGTTCATAGCTTAATTTCATGTCCAAAACAGAATTTCCAACTTTTAGTCGTTTAACAGAAAAACTTAATGTACATAGCTTCTATCTTTTGAAAAAAGAAAAGTTACATGTTTGAATTATGTTTTCGAAATAAAAGTTGTTTCCAAAGAGAATCGGAAGGCAAGAGGTGTGAGAGACCCAATTCCTACATCTAATATAACTCTTAGATAAATTAAATTTCGTGAAACTTGACAGTAAACGTGAAATATTAGCACAACATCTTACTGCTGATGAGTAGCCGTAAACATTCGATACCTGATATCTACTGAGGTTAGTTGATAGATACTAATAGTTATTCACGCTATTTGGAGTCAATTTTACATGGTATTACCCCAAACTTATTTTCGGCTTCAGATTCGCATTCCACAGTCCCGAGTACCGAGAGGGATAGCTTTGATTTTGCAAGAAAAAGTAAAATAACTATACATCCATTTTTGTTTGAAAAATGGAAGGAACTACTCTTCTTTTTGCAATAGAAGCTTACCAGCGGAGTTCCTGAAAGACTGCAATGTAGAATTCGCAGTGATTATTTCACAAGACTTCTTTATGAAGACAAATGTGAGTCTTATGTATACGGGAACTGAGTAAGTAGGGTACCTCCAAAGAAATAGAAAATCAGAAACAAGATGAAGACTTTCACATGAAGAACATGCAATTCTTTAGAGAAAAAAATAAAACAAAAAGATTTTGGATAACATTTATTCAAAGTAACGCCATGCATTTGCTTTAAAATTTAATGCTTGATATTAATTTGACCAAACGATCTGTTTCTTAAATTTAATCTTAACTTTTCATTATTTTGATGTGCATGATTAGGAGTGTGGCAGATCCACATCAGTTCCAGTTTTCTGAACTGGGAACTGGTCAATCAGTTTCTCGCTTTCTGAACTCTAAGTACTGATCGTTTTGGTTTCTTCGGTCTAATATGGGTGACACGGTTTAGCTCCGATGAAATAAACTATCGGTTAATATGAAAAAATAGATGAAGTGCCCAAAACAACTGGTGAGCAGTTCCAGTTCCAAGAACTGGATCTGTCACACCCCTAAGCATGATCAAAGACATTCTTAATGCAGTTTTATTTGTGACTTCCTGGGAGTCTGGAAATTTGGATGAATGATAAATTAGGAAATGAAGTACTTAGATAGATTATTCAATAGATACTTGCGTAGATAGATAGTCAAATTCGTAGATAGTTTGATAGATAGACAGATAGTTGGTTCGATTGACTGGTGGAATAGATAGATGCAGGGCTGCCGCGAGCGAGGAATGGTGACTCCGCCAATATTAGAGAAACGACCGATTTTCTCCAGTGGAGGTTACGAAAAATTTGGACCTTCCTTCAAAACGTTCGGTCCGCGTCCTGCGGACATAAGTCGACTCTCTAATTCTGACTGTTTCACGATACCCGTGGGAGAGGAGAGGGATAGGTAGGTGGTAATATTATTAGACGGGTAGAGAGATAAGTAGATACGTATTATCCGTTTCAGATAGAAGAGGGGTGAGTGTTAATTAAATAATTTTCGATTGATTCATGCTATCGCGTTCAGGGTTTCCCATTGAGAAGAGCGATCTACAGGGCGTCTATCTGTCTAAGACGCATTACGTTTGAAAAGCTTTTCCACAGTTGTATATACACAGATATGCTTTTGTTTCTATTTTCATAAGTTTTCATGACAGCTTCAACTCAAACTACGACAAAATCCGCCTGAACCACTCTACACCATCTGTAAAATCACCAGGTTTTAAAGTAATCTTGTTGGAAAAAGGGTTCAAGGGAATAATGGGAATAAAATAATGTAAATATCTAAAAACTTTATAGCTAATACAGTGCAATTTAGGCCAGTTTTTGATGCAATTTGAGTTGAAGTTGTCGTGAAAACTTATGAGAATAGATAAAAAAAGAAGCGTATCTGTGTATAAACAACCATGGAACAACTTTTCGAACCCAATGAACCTTATACAAATAGACGTTTTGTAGATCGCTTTTTCCATGGCGAAACCCTCAACTCGATAGCATGGAGTAATCGAAAATGATCCAAAAAAATACGCATCCCTCTTCTATTTTGAAATGGACAATAGATAGTCAGTAAGATAGAGAGATAGATGGTAAAAAGATAGATAATTAATAAGACAGATAGATAGATAGATAGACAAATAGATAAACAGATAGTCAGAAGATAGGTACATTAATAAACAGATACCTAGCTGGGTAGTTGTTATGTGCATTGTAAAAGATTTCCGTAGAATAAAAAACGCAAAGAGAGTTGTAGCAAGTGAAACAAACACAATACCCTTTATCGGTTCTTTTGTTCCAAGAACGACCAAAGAACGTAAAACAAAGGGTTTTTGACATCGCACTGATGCTATCAAAAAGGTTTTTTTTAACTATGTAAAGAGCGGAACGAGGATATTATGTTTGTTTCACTTGCTACATCCCTTTTTCCGTTTTTTATTCTATGGAAATTTTTTACAGTGTAGTATTCAGAATAATTTTGGCCATCATTTGTAGACACAAAAACAACAACGTCAACCGTGAAATCTTCGAATACTAGTGAACCGCAAGAAATGAGTGAAAAAGTATCAAGTGTCAACGTAAATCTTGAAACATTTCTCATCGTTTGGCTGGACGCAAATGTCAATACGACAAAAGATAATGAGGAAACGTATAATGAGTTACGTTCAAGTTTTAATTACATCAAAACATTTGACGATTTATCAACGTGTCAAGAATATATCGAAGGCGTTAAACTTGAAAAGATTGTTCTCATTGTGTCTGGCGGTTACGGTAAAGACATTGTACCACATATTCACAATCTGGCACAAGTAAATTGTATTTACGTTTATTGTGCTGACAAAGGACGACACGAAGAATGGGCGAGGAGTTACTCAAAGGTAAGTAAGTTTGTCTGGATGAAGAGGAGCTTAAATAACTGAATAGACGCCACACGAAAGCAAGAATGATTTGTTTTTCTTGAAGAAAGAGTGCAGCCTTAGCGAATGTTTAAACGCAGATTTCGTTTGAATTTGTGATTTAAATTTAAGATCTTTTCGTTGCAGGTACAAGCAGTTATTATTAAGCGCAAGAAGCTAATCGAAAATATCATCGAAGATCAAAGAATTCGTAATCTGACCGAAGATCCTGTTCCAATGAGTATTTTAAATCAAAGGGCAGTATCCAAAGAAATGACGGCTAAAGATATTTCAAAAGAAATGGGTTCAATCTTATGGTTTCAATTGCTCGTCGAAGTGCTACTACGAATGCCAAACGATGCGAATGCTAAAATGGAACTACTTCAGACTTGGCGCGAAAATTATATTGGAAATACTTCTGAATTAGACATTATTGATCAATTTGAACATCAATTTAAACAAAGCAAAGCTGTCTGGTGGTATACTCGTGAATCTTCATTGTACCGTATATTAAATAAAGCCTTGAGAGAACAATCCATTGACATCATATTCGCATTTCGTTATTTCCTAACTAAACTATCAAAACAAGTTTCAAAGTTGTACGATAACTATATGGATAATTTCAAATCTGATAACATAGAAGACAATGGCAAGCGCATCATTCATGTTTATCGTGGACAAGCAATTACCAAAGAAGAGCTTGCACAGATGCGAGCAAGTATTGATGGTTTTATTTCTATTAATAGTTTCTTTTCTACAAGCCGGAGTAAAACGAAAGCACGACGATTTGCTAAACGATCACCCGTCACTGAACAACTCGATCGTGTATTATTTCGAATTAAAATTGATGTTTGTTTGCCAACAAAACCTTTTGCTGATATTGAAGGAATTAGTTCCCATCCGGATGAACGAGAAATCTTATTTATGCTCGGATCTATTTTTCGTATTAACGATATTACTTACGACGAAAATGATGCATTGTGGATACTAAATTTGAATCTTTGTAGTGAAGACGATTTTGAACTTAAAGAACTCTTCGCTTATCTGAAAAAAGATATTGGAGAAGAAACATCAATGGTAACATTGGGAAATATTCTAGTTCAAATGGGTGAATATGATAAAGCTGAACGAATATTTCTACGAATTAATCATCACGAAGGACTTATTGCAGTTGAAGAACATAAAGGAAATTTTTATTTAGCAATGAAAAACTACAAGTGTGCTGTTGGTCATTATGAACAGGCATTGAACCTTCGTTGTAAATTTTTTCCTACGTATCATCCAGACATCGGTAAAAGTTATGGCGAAATTGCAATGGCATTTGAATTTTGGAAACAATATCCCAAAGCTATTGATTATTATCAACGCACTATTGAACATTATCGGTTTACATTGGTAGACAATCACCCGTTGATTATACAAGCTAAGAATAGTTTACAAAAACTTCAACGATGAATGCATCACTAAGTTATCAGTTTGACAGATTTCTAGATGACAAATTACTCCGTCGGGATATTTGACAGAATATTTCATGTTAAAAATTTATTGCTGCGCAGATTTTAAAGGCCACATTATCACATATACGAAATACATCAGTTTGAAAGTTGCGTTCACATTTTTAGACGAAATAGTTAAGCTAGCTTGAGCTGCTCCCAAATTCACTCCTAGAATGACTTGTGTTATGTTCTTTGCATCTTTCGTGGAGAGTTAAGCAGCGTATATTATTTCAGTTGTCTGGTCGTTCTTACTTTCAAATATAAAGACTGACAGAGACACTTTCAAATACGTACACTCAGTTATTCAATCTGAAATCGCTAATTGGTCATCTAAATTCTTTTGTATAAGTAACAGATGGTTATACACACACAACTAGTAGGATAATAGTAACAGTCGAAACTATCGATAAAATAGTTGTAAGGAAAGAATATTGTTCTGTACCATTGAGCTATCAGAAGTAAGTAGTTAATGATATGAACTATTAGAAAAATACTGCTCAAGTGAACAGAAGCGCGAAAAGTGAAATTGCAGAGTGTCATAAAACCACTCATTTACTAAAATTATTTATTTAATTAAATGAAATAGGTTTTAGTGTAATCAACATTTTACTTGTTTAAATGAGCGGTGACAATATTCCATTCTTCATCTTCTTTGTCGATTAGAGTTAGATCGACAACTCACAAATTTCCATATTGTTCAATGGTATCAATTCGAAAAACGGAAGCCATGAGAAAAGAACTTCACCATCGTCTTCATATGTACTTAGATAATCAATTTTTGAGGATGAGTTACACAGAATAGATTCAAAGCACCATACCACGCGTTTCGACCATTGCTTAGATAGTCATCATCAGGTATGTTTAGAATCATGGCTCTTCGGTATTATCCGAATGGCACATTTGATAATGCTTATTAGTTGCTTATATATTGAGTTATGATACTGAGAAACAAAGCGGTGAATGAATGGTGACATCTATTATGCATAATGAAGCAGTGAATAAAGTGTTACACTTTAGATGAGCGACATCTATTTAGAAAGGTATTTTACAATATAAAAGAGAATAGTGATATTGTATCAGTTTGAAGTTCTGCAGCATGGCCGGCGGAACGGGTGGGCGAAGCGGGCGGCCGACCGAGGCGCTACAAAGCAAGGGGCGCCAGAGGCGCCCTGGTTTTCTAACACTGATCAGGGGCATTTCAACAGGTACAAATAGAAGGTATCAATCCTCAGCGGGTTATGATGTTGGTTTCGCTAAAGCTAGTGGTATGCTGATGGTTATTGAACGTAAAAGTAAAACTAAGACAGATGGTTCGGAAGCAGCAAGACAACATGCCACAGTATCATACAATGATAGTGGTTCTAATCAAAAAGTGACAAAGATTGGATTTTATTATATAATAGATGTACTTAATTTTCAGTATTTGTTTTACTGATTTGTCTTACAAAATTATCTTAAAACATGAGTTATCCGAATGAATTATTTCAATATATAAATCTGATATTTGCAATAAATCATAAATATGTCTTTTTTATTTATCCATCGTTTCTTGTATAATTGGATCAATAATTGTAAGTAATTGAAATATTGTACCAAAACTAACTTTATCATTCCATGAATAGTGTCTCATTAAATTATCAATTACTTTTAAAAATCATTGTTCATTATTAAAATTCATTAATGTTAGTTGATAGTCATAATCAATAATAATCATACTGGATTCATCTTTATCAACATGTAAAATATTTGTTTTTCTACTTGAACTTTCACATAGTGTTGTTGAAATCACATAGTGTATCATGAAATACGTCATTCATAACGTAATTCATTTAGAATTAAATTTAAAATACGATCAATGAATGACTTTAATTTCATAATAAACTTATGGAATAAATTTTGAAATAAAGATGATTATTTTTGAATGTATTTTGGTAAATATTCTCTTATTATTAATGTTGATAATAAACAATTTGTTTTGAAATCGGATAATTGATAGGATTTAAAAACAGACTGGCTATTTATTAGTGCTATATAATAATTTAAAGGATTTATTCACAACTGGAATCATTTTTCAATTAGTTTTCGATGTTTTTTGGAATCAAAATTAAAATTTATAAAATTGATCATGTCATTGTGAAAGTTAGATGATGGCTTCTTATTGTATTTATAATCATAGATTAATATCGAAGTTGTTATGTTCGATTGTACGGGATATATTCTCTTCTTGCATTTCAATCCTTTAAGATGGTAAACTATCATCATGATACGTATTCTTATTGTCAATTGAGTAATTATTTGTAAAGATATACATTTTATTCTTTTTTTTCACTAAAATTTAATATTGCATTATTTGATTCATTGATCTAATAATAGTAATATGTAAATCACTACATAAAACAAACTGAATCGCTTTTAATTATCTTTTCTTGCTCAAACACGCTCATGATGAATGTTGAATACAAAACAGTATTGCAGAAGTATCACTTTGTAGAGAACTTCTCTCTACAAATCTGAGTTCTCCTATAAAGACAGCTGCAAAGACACATCGAACCTGGACCGGTATTCAAATAAAAGAATTATCGCTCGACTATTTGAAAACATATGATTCTATATAGTTGTTGACAATCTTTCTAACGCGCTTGTCGATCCCTATAATTTAACGAAGAACTTCGTAAGTTATTTTTTTTATGATTGGCAATGTTGGGCTAATTCAAGCGAAAGATTTCTCATATATGGTTGTGAAACTCTGCATATCAATAGCTTCAATGTCTTCAACAGTAACTGATTGACGCACTAATGGTTTCCATAATAATGATGGAAATTGTAAATTCAATAAATTTTTAGTTTGTATAGCCATACCCATAAGTTGACCAATAAATATATAGAAATTTTTTATTTTACTTGGAATTGTTGTCTGTGATGGAAACACATTTTGGATCCATCGATCTCGATTCAGTCCACTATTTGTTCGTCCATTTGGACATAGAATAAACAGTGGTAATCTCGTACTACAAATATCTGCACACATAGCAGTAATTGAATCTCTATATAGACCACCAGAATCAGAACTATGCATTCCAACGTATGTTACAGTCCATACTCGAACATGTTCTAATTTTCGAAATGATAAAGATGCATTTTTATACAATTGTCTAAAAGATTGAGAAAATATTGTATCTTTGTATGTAGAACAGGGGTACTTGCTTTCACTGAGTTTAGTTCAATAGCTTGTGTCTCATCGGTATGATACGTTTTCTCTAGGATCGTATTAATCAATTTATTTTTAGTATTATATACTATATATGATATAATTGAACGAATAGCGTCAGCAAGCATACTCGTACCAGTTGGCAAACTTAAATCGACATCACTTAAAACGTTTTTGATCAATATGTTGAATAAATATAATATTTTTATACGCATTTTCAAATAAGTTGCCAGTATATTATTTAATAATGTGTATGTACTGTATTTTGTATTAGTTATAAATTCATTAGATAATCCGACAAGAAACTCAACAATAAATGAATCTGATAATGATTGTCAGTCAGTCAAACTGTTTGTTTTGTTTCATCTATTAATTCTTTTATTACATCCATTACTATGAATAAGTCACGTAAAGATTCACCATAGTTCAAATATTTATTGAGTCTTACTGCTGATTTATTACTTTATTTGACTCGTCTTGTTATTTTACTTCAGATTGCTCTTGTTTTTCTTTTTCTCTTGCGCGTATTACAAAACACAAGTCCATTACGGCAGATCGTAAACTGCTAGACGAAGAATTACCATTCGAACGCTTATTTGTTATAAATTCAAGAAGCTGTAATAAGAATTGTTGGACATCTTTATTTAAGTTGAAATTAGTAGCAGTTTCAGTTAACACGCCAAATACGTACAGAATAAATATCCTTGATTGTTCTTGAGGGACTAATAGAGATAGATCAAACAATAAATGAATTAATGAGTCAGCAAATAGAATTTCAACTAAAAATTTGTACATGCTCTATTTTTGTGTTACTAATTAATTCAAGAAATAATTTTAATATTCGAAATACAAAATTTAAACTGAGTGGTATTATTGAAGTTTGCTCATTTAAACTCTCATCTGTAGTTTGTAACCAAGTTGAATGTGATATTAATCGATTACATTGCACAGTAGTATCGATTTGTAAATGATATAATAATGGCTCTGTTGTAGAAAATAGCTCAGATGTAATTTTGTTTGTTTACTTTAATAATTCGTTTGTTTCAGCTTGTACAATTGAACTTGTTAGAAGTTTCATTCGGTCGATAGCTGCATCAAAGCTAATACGTGTATGATTATAATGATAATCCATGAATCGTAACAATTTAATAATAAAGCGTCAATCGCCAAATCCGTGTAATGGAAATAAACTATTTTTTTTTATCATTACTGTTGAGCCAAATTTTAACCATATTCAATATTGTATATCGTGCGTAGATTGATGTTAATCCTATTTCAGACGCTATTCATGAATCAACATATTGTTTATGTGTCATTTGTCGATGTGAATATTGCATACATTTGTGTACATCTTTACGTCGACTGTCTAATTCATTTTCATTTGTAAGATCATTTTCTTCAGGTTTACTTAAATCTAGTAGTTTACAATTTGGATCCGTAGTATGATCTGTAGTTTGAGTTTTTTGTCTTGTATCCATTCAAATATGTTATCTTGTATATTTTGTTTGTGAACACATTTTGAATACCATTTAGGTAGAAGTGCTTTATTAGTATTGAATTCGTTTGTATCATCAGTATCATTGTCATCATTCATCAACGTTTTTACTTCTGATTTATTTATAGATTCATTTGTACTATTGTGTAACGGAATGCTTTCAGCTTGCAATGCACTCCAATGCTCCAAAAATTTGTTCACATATGACAACTATGTCAGCATCAGTATCAAGTTTAGAAAATGTCGTAAATTTTTTTAATTTTTCTCTATTCAGATGTGAGTTTAATCTACATAATAAATTCACTTTATGTTCACGTTCTTTACGTAGATCTGCATTCAGTAGTTGTTGCGTTTGTTGCCGTATTAATGTATCGATTAATTGAATGTTGTATACATTGTATTCTTTCATGATTGTTTTTATCCATCGTCTTTTACAGCCTATTGATATTGCACAGACATTTGATTTGCTAAGGCTGTAAATGGTAATGCGACAAATTTCTCTAAAGAATATGTACTGGATTCCAATACAGATGGTAACTGATCAATATTGTTATTCTTAAACGTTATTGATTTACATTCGATTCGAACTCTATCGAGAGCAGTAATATTTGAATTATCAATTTCTTTAAATAAATAAATATATCGCTCCTTTAGATCGTATGCATCTTCATCGATAGATGCATTTAATTCTAGTTTTCCATTTACATAAACTTTAATGCTGTTATTCTTTTTACAACTAACTAGACGTAAATATTCATCCAATTTCAATGTAGTTTCACTTCCAGTATTACTCCCACGGAGTCGACCTTTATTTGTATATACAGATTGCATGATGTTCTGATATTCAAAGTAGGGTTAATATGCCTAAAATAGCTTCAGATTCACTCGGGCATGCCACATGAACAATGCTACTGGAATTAGTTGAACTAACCAACACATTTCTTGTTATTGGTGTGTCGTTTGTAGATACGTCCTTTACATCATTATCAAGTACAATTTTTGTTCCTGCAGGTAAATAAGGTATACTGATATCCATAATAAGTGTATATTCTGTCCATATTACCAGCTGAACTATTTTCAGACGTTGTTTCAGTTTCTTCATTTATATCCAACGGATCATCAACTTGTGATTTATCTAACACTAAATAACTATTATTTCCAAATAATTATATACCATACTCTATGTTTGTAATAGTGTCTGTAGGTAACACTTTGAAACATTTGAATTCATCTGCATCAATACTCTTCTTTTTTTATCCCACAATTTAGAATCAAATGGTTCCGTAAACAGTAACAATTCTCGTGAAAATTGCGGGCACTTAAACGTATATGTGTTATTTTGTTTAATTATTCAATCATGCATTTGATAATGTACATGTGACTGATAAAAGTAGATCCTATCCCAGAAAGCTGAGATTGACAGAAGCTGGACTCGACATTTAGAATCTACTTATTTCCCAAGCTGAAAAAGATCACCATATTATTATTATTATATACATCCCAGTTTTCTGAGTATAAAAATATAATTCTCTCGACTGATTTTTCTTTGTATTACATAATATACTGGCAACTTATTTGAAAATGCGTATAAAAATATTATATTTATTCAACATATTGATCAAAAACGTTTTAAGTGATGTCGATTTAAGTTTGCCAACTGGTACGAGTATGCTTGCTGACGCTATTCGTTCAATTATATCATATATAGTATATAATACTAAAAATAAATTGATTAATACGATCCTAGAGAAAACGTATCATACCGATGAGACACAAGCTATTGAACTAAACTCAGTGAAAGCAAGTACCCCTGTTCTACATACAAAGATACAATATTTTCTCAATCTTTTAGACAATTGTATAAAAATGCATCTTTATCATTTCGAAAATTATATAAACTTATGGGTATGGCTATACAAACTAAAAATTTATTGAATTTACAATTTCCATCATTATTATGGAAACCATTAGTGCGTCAATCAGTTACTGTTGAAGACATTGAAGATATTGATATGCAGAGTTTCACAACCATAAATGAATTAGAAAAAAGAGTGAAACAAACTAAAACTATGAACACCAGTGTTACTGCTGATAGCGAAGAAAAATATACAGATAATATTAATTTTTTGTTTGATAGTATTATGAGTGAATTACACTTTGGTATTGTTGGTTCAAACATGCAGACATACGAATTAGTACCCAATGGTTCAACTATTCCAATAACTGTGGCCAATCACAAAGAATATTGTTTGAAATATTGTGAATATCGTTTACAGGAGTTTAATAAACAAGTCAATTATATTCGACAAGGTTTATATAGCGTAGTTTCATGGCCAATGTTAGCATTATATACTCCTTCTGAACTAGAAGAAGTTGTTTGTGGTAAACCCATAACTGATGTTGATTTGTTAAAACAACAAACAGAATATAGATGTTCAACTGATCATCATAATGCACCATACATAAAACGATTTTGGACTGTATTAAAAGGTAAATTGGATGAAGACCAAAAAAATTATTTTTAATTTTTGTTTATGGAAGGAGTACATTACCTGGCCAAGCAGAAGATTTCGAGTGCAACTTTTTGATCAGCGGTTAGATGCAATTAATGATGTGGATAAAATGTTACCAACTACGTATGATACACTCAAGTTGAGGTTTTTCTACTTGTAACAACTACTGGACAGTTTTAACAAAATGTGACATAATATATTCATATTTCTTATCATACTCTAGACAGCGACGTATACCCTACTGAACCTTAGTTTAAGAATAATAATTAGCAGAGCTTGAGAACCGCGATTTTCGTAGAAATGTAATGGCTGATGCACAGGGTTCATACAGTGCATCTATCTCTTTTCGAGTGGACGTTTTTAAACTATTATCGATACTTACTATACATGAAATGGAGTCAAAACCCGGTTAGGTTGGTGTCATCTGTTGATTTCATGTACACGCATAGTATAGGTAGATGAGAGCAGGAATAAGATTTATATTTCAAAACCGCTCACGAAGAAAAAGAAATAGTTATGGTTCTCTTGAAAAAATTGTTATAAAAAGCAAAAGTTTTTAATCGGTGACCAACGAGCTTTTTTGATGACTTATCTACGCAATAGAAGACCATAGTCTCCTGTTTGTATAGGGATTACAGCATTATTAGAAATTTTATTTGTTCTTTTTTAAAAAAGGACAAAATGAAGAGAATTAACTGAATCATGATTGATCGATTATCGGACGATAAATAGATAGTTGCAACTGAGAAGAAATCTAGCAATCGCCCGATCACTCGTTTTCTACTGCCGTTGCCAATAATTGTAATCGAGTAAAAGTCCAGTAACCTATATGAATCGGCGATACTGGAATGCTTGGGAAGTTAGTGATATTCATCTATAATCAAGCAACTGTTTTTTGCAAGAGTGCAATGAAATCTCTGTTGAAAAATATTTACGTCATACCTAAATGTAGCTGTGAATACCTCGCCTACGTAAATAACTCAGATATATGTTCAGTCCACAGCAAGACATCACTTTTTATCTTTTCTGTTTATTTTAGTGTTTCATACTTGTTTTTTCACTCTTGATTTACCGCCCTACTCAATACAACAGAAGAGATTATGTATGAACGTTTAAATTACGCAACCACGCATTGCTCAAGCATCGATGCTGATTATACATTGAATGAGGCTCGTGATAATATAACAACGCAGAATAAGCTAAATGGAGAAGAAGATATATCATCAATGCCAATCTTAACTGAATAAGTACGATTATCGACAAACAGAAATATATCAGCTCTACAAACAGAACAGAGCAAACACTAATATTATAAAAAGATTTTGTGTTACTTTAGAGATCGGACTTTTAAAATAGTTATTATACTTGCATAAGTACGATCGAATTCATATAGTCTCGTATCTTTTGTTCAAAAAACGATCCGACACTTGAGAGCCTTCCTTTGTCGCTCGAGATAGCAGGTAGTTGCGAATTCTAAATTAATTAATGATGTCTGGTTTTTCACCAAGCTTTTCTTTAGTCATACTAATGGTATTGCCAATGTCCAGCAAATTTGAATGATCTATTGGTAAAACTTCTTCATAAATTCTAATGCTTAAATGTAATCGTTTTTTTCGAAATACTCATAACCAATAATTCGGAAACATAATGCTACATCTCGATGATCAATTGATAAAGTTTTTTTCCACATTTCGAATGCTTTTATATAGTATTGCAGTGTACAAGCAGAATTATTATCTTTTTATAGTAAACTTGTTCAATAAGATGTGAACATTTTGCAATATCACGATGATCAGTATTAAATTTTTTTTCATATACTTTTAATGCCAGTTTTAAATAATCGCGTAATTGTTAAGAATTTAAAAATTTTAGAAAGACTTCACCCATATCTTTTAAAGTACATCCAATATAGATATGATCACTAGAAACAGTTTTTTCATGAAAATGTTTACTCTAAAGATGTCTCTACTTTAGAAGAAATCTAAGATGGTTGATTGAACAGGTTAGGTCGTGGCTTATTTTAATTGGTTCATAAGAAGAAAAAACCGTTGCGGACGTCATAGAATTTGTACTGCTATTTGCACACCCAAAACACAAAATCTAGAAAGGTGGAGTATGTGTACTACATGTAGCATATCAAACTGTGTTTACATAATAAATGCCAGATTGTTATCATGCCTAACGAAGGAGAAAAGCTCTTTTTTTCGAAATTTCGTTGCGGACGTGACGTGCAAAATAATATGTTTTTAAAACATTGTTTCTACTTTGTTCTTACATAATAAGAAAGAGGGTTAAAAAAGCTATTGAAACATCTAAAGAAAACTAAATACAAGCTTCCTGTTTACTTTTAAATAGATCTACTTTTGTCCTTCAGGTTATCTGCGAATTCATCCATATCGATTCGTAAATCGACAGCTTTTATTATAAGAGATAGTTGAAGAGGAATGGACGGTGTTGAGGGGAAGACATAGTTTTATCTACTGATTTGAGCTGGTCGTTTAGTTTGATCCAGTAGCAATGCAAGTGATGTCGCATCTCTAAGGTAGAGAAGAATGTCGCATCACTGGCGTTACATTTTTGATTCGATAGACGACAGTTAGTAATCTGAACTTCACCTTGATGTTGATTTTTAAAGTGTGAGACAATTACTTCATTAATTTGATTGATTGTCACCTTTCCAGTGGTGAAGCGAAGAACGAACGGGGGAATGGAAAACGTGTTTGGGCATATCGTGCCGATGCTGATGATATATTCTGATGCTGTTGATTTTGTTTCGATTGGATCGACGAGTTTGCTGCTGTGGCGGTAATGTTAGTGTTGACGTGCTGCTGCTAAGGCTGTTGAGAAAACTGACGATTAGCATTATTCATCTGTTGTTTTTTTCTTTTGTTAGTAACGTCTTGGAATTCTTCTTCATGAGAGTCGTTTGAACGAGAACGACGTGTTGAGGGAGCAGGTGAATTGATCAGCTGCCTATTTATGGTGGAAGAAGCGGGAATGATAAACCACGTTAGACTGAGGGTCATGATACATTTGTGAGTGTGAGTCATCCTGGTGATTATCGTGAGTCATATTTGAATCAATTCCCAATATTCACCAAATGACGATTTTGTAGATCTTTAAGTTGATATAGTTGCTTAATTTTGTGTGAATTTGGATAATTAGCCATCGCTTCGACTAGTTTAAACCAAACTTGTGTTATTCAGTGATAACACGCACTCAGTGCATTTTAAATTTAAATATTTATTTACTTCTGTATAGTATTATGTATCTAGAGAAGAGGAAAGACAAGAAAACACGTCTGACCGCTCTATGATAAAAAGTGATGATTACTTAGGCTATTCACACAGCACAGCGTAAATAATTTATTTTCATAAAGAATACCATGATTAACATATCGCGACGAAACAGATTTGGCTGGAGTTTTTTTACAGGTTACTTATAATCATACCGTTATTACTAATAAAAAATATATCCGCTCAGGTCCGCTCCATTACTGAGATGTGCAATATTTTGTATAAAACTGGCTCCTGTTGATTGTTCCGAAGGAAACATTGTAATTGTATTACTTAGGCAGGTGCAACTTTATACTTAAATGATTGACAACTTTCGGCACTGAGATTACTTCCTTTTCACATCTCATATGAAAGAGAAATGTTTGCTCTACAAAATCACTGTAGAAAGATACAGTGAAAAGCAGCACCCTGGGCGTCCGCAAGACAAAAACGGTAAAACCGGTTTTTTTCTAACCTGCTCTTTTCCGGTATTTTAGACCTAGAAATCGGTAATCCGGGTTGACCAAAAAACAAATTATATAATCTTGTACAGTTGATAATTCTGCATCGATTGATATGTAAAAGAAAGATTTAGATCACTAGGAGGATGTTTTTTTGAGAGGTTCAAGTTGGGGAAGTATTGTGCATTTTTTGAGACGATTTTCAATAATTTCTCGATTCTTTGTTTTATTCTCGATCCTTCGACATGCACCGATGTCAAATTCATAATCTGCGTATGATTCCCCGTACGAAACTGACCCTTGAAATATTATTTAGAGCTTGATTCAATATCATATGGCTAAAGCAAAAATTCATAATCAACTAATTTTGCAACAAATTTTGCAAACCTATCTAGTTTTTCCGTTAACGGACGGAGCCGTGATTTACACTGTATTCGATTCGTCCTTACACGGGCAAAAAAAGTATCTAGAGTTTTCTTTAAAATTCTTTTCCATTACTGAGAAAATTCACTTCTTCTGAATGAGATGCGAAAAATTCACAATTGTACCCGTAATTCTCAATTTTCTTTATCAGAACTCAAGTTTTATGCAATAAAAATATCATATTCGGAAGCAGGATCAAAAGCTGAGCCGAATGATGTGTATTTCGAAATTTTTAGCTGATTTTCATTTTTCTGTCAAAATCACGATCATTTTTCAACTCGAAAATTCGACAAAAACTTAAAGCAATCAGGTAGGATTGAAATACACATCATTCGGCTCTACTTTTGATCCTGATTCCGAATATGATATTTTTATTGCATAAAACTTGAGTTTTATCCACTATTCCCTTTGCAGGTCGGTTTTCTCACAGACTCTCTCTTAAACATATTATTAGATACAGCGGCATTACCGCGAACGACGTTACCGCGAACGATATTACCGCGAATACAGAAAACGGCATTACCGCGACTTTTTCATAGTACACATTTGGTCTCGGCGATTTTCAAAAAGTCCATATATAAATTCCTTGAAGCTTTTCTAGATTCTGGAAAATCGAATTTACAAGAAACTTGGAAATTCGACGTCGATTTTCCAACATTTTAGAAATTCGCTGTGAAATTTCAAGAATCTTGGGAATTATTTATAGGAAATCGACCCCGAATTTTCATATTTTTGGAAATTCTACGGCGATTTTCTGAGTAAAATATAACTTATAAAAGTCAGAAAATCCCGGGCGATTTTCGAGATCAATTTTCTGTAAATAAGAAATTAATTTCAAATTACAGTCTAGTTA